CTGCCCACGCTGCAGAACACCATCGCCACGACGGCGATCCTGCACGCCGGTCGGGTCTCCTTGGATGAGAAGCGGTCGGTCGAGATCGTCAGTGCCGACGGCCAGTGGGAGTTGAAGTAAATCTATAGAACATTTTCTCTGACGACCACCATGATGATGCAGACCAGTGTATATAGTGCGCATGTTTTTGTTAACGTATGTAAACATCTTACTCAAGCATCTGAAAATTAGTAAGCATTGAAGCTTGTAGCTTGTGGCTTGTAAGAACGAAAGGGAAATAGTTCCATGGTAAATATCCCTGTCTCTCTCGTAGAATAGAAAACGACACAGGAAATTAGGGGAATGAAATGAAAGAGAGAGAAAGAGAAATATGGACTACCCGAGCGAGATAGATGGATCTGTCATGGTATCACCAATTTTTTGAAGCAAAAGGAATCAAAACTCCCTCGAACTCCCACCCAATCATCACTTTCGCCACGCTGCGAATCACAGAACGAGGAACAATTGAAACTTCAGAATTAAAACAACCACCCCCAAATAAGGAAACCGAGATGAAAACATAAGTCTTCGAACGGGGACAGGAAGAAGGGAACGGAAATTTAGCAGATCGTGGTCTCGTAGCAGGTCGCCGCCACTACTTTGAGGAATGTAGAACCTTTTCCAGTGGGCGGACTAGGGGGGGGGAGGAGATCGAAAAAAAAAAAAGATAAACAAAAGAGAAAGAAGTGCAGTGGATCAGTCTCAAAACGATCCATCACCGCCGAGGGTTGTTCTTCACGATCCCATCCACTCCCTTGTTGAACTTCACTCGACAATCTGGGCAATACCATTTCGCAGTTCGACTGGGCACTTCAGACAGACCCACACAGTCCAGGTGGAACCATTCGCGGTCACACTGGTTAATTGTTAGATCTGGATAGTTATGGGAAGTACTGGGAAAAAAAAAAGAAAGCTTACATCCGGGTTTTCACAGCAAATCATGGTCCCGAAACTCACATCTCCGCAGATACAGTATCGCGGCTCGTTAGGGTCGATCTCCTCGAGGACACCGTCCTCGTCAATGCGAATGTCGTCGCGGTTCAGTAAGCCCCCTTCAAGCAGATTGATGCGTTTTTTGCCCGGCTTGGCCTTGCGTCGGCCGTAGCTGACTGCGGCCCCGCCATCTTGACCTGAAGACACGGGACCGGGCGCAGGGCGCTTCCGTTTGCGATGCGGTGCGCTGACACTCGTTGCACGGGCCGTCTCCGGTACAGGCGTGCGTCGCGCAGGCGTGGCGCTCTTCCGGCGGAGCTCGCGGCCGGTTGCTGGCAGAGTGTTCGCGTTGCTGGTCGGCTCCGCTGACAGGGCTGCACCTCGGCGGGACGAAGGTCGGGTAACCGGGGGTGTGGGCGTGCCAGCGGCTGGTGCTTTGCCAGAAGTGGTTGAAGCTGGAGGGGGGAGAGATCGTTTATTGCTGCCTGGGGATGATAAGACAGGCTGCTTCTGCGTATCGGCTGATTCAACCACAGCAGCATCTGGACCGGTCGATGGAGCCGGGTTTGGCATGGTTGCGTTGCTCTCGGCGGGAGTGAAAGACTCCTTGCTGATCCGACGGCGTTTGCTTGCACTGCGCAACGAGTTTCGTGTCTCTACCTCAGTAGGAGCGGCAGATTCAGCTGGAGCCTCAGAAGTCTCTAGAGCCTTTGCAGCCTCAGGAACCACCGGAGCGTCTGCAGCTTCTGCAGCCTCTGCAGCCTCTGGGACTTCTGTAACCTCAGGAGCTTCTTGAGCCTCCGGAGCTACTGGTATTATTGAATCTGCCGTAATAGCCGCTGCCACAGGCGAAGCAGTGGGAGCAGCTGTGGGTGGGGACGCCACGGGGGTTGGAGAAGTAACAGTAACGGGAGCAGGAGTAACAGTATCAGGAGCTGCAGGAGGTGCAGGAGTCGTCTCTGGCGGTGTTACTTCGTCCGCCTTGCGTTTCTTTGCGGTAGAACGACTCGCTTTGCTTGTAGCTGGTGACGCTTCTGTAGCGGAAGGTCCTTTGGGTGTTAAGGTAGGCTCCTCAGGGCTTTTTGCTGTTGGGTTATCACCTGCGGCGGCGGCCGCAGCGGCTGCAGCAGCTGCTGCCGCCGCCTGCTCACGCGCCTGGTTCTCCCGCTTAAGCTTCTTGGCCTCGTTCAACTTCATGCCTCTGTTGCTTAGCTTGGTCTCGAACGGTGCCTCAATGTCAAGAGGTGCTTCACCGCGCTTGCTTAGCTTGCCAGGAATGTACGTGTTCATAATGTCGTCGCAGTCGAGGAACTCAGTCCCGGACGCATCAGCTTGTGCCTTAGCCTTTCGGTAAGCCTCCCAACCGCGACCACGGAGCGCCAACTCGCGATGGATCATGACTTCACTCGGCTGCCACACCGCGTTCTTTTTCATCTTCTTGCGAAGCTTGGTCATCTCCCACTCAGTCAGCCGCAACCACGGCATGTCCTCACTGCCAGGTTTGGCATCTTCAGGCGGTGGTTTAAGCATAGCCAGCGCACCGCTGATCGATATGGAAGGCGTACTGGTACCTGGAACCCCAGGAACCAGCACAGACCCACGTGAACGTCGAGCAGCTTTCTTCTCTTTGACAGGTGAAGTGGCGGTTGTGGGAGTAGAGGAGTCCACAGAAGCAACGGGAGGAGGAGCGGCGGCGGCGGGTTTCGGCTTCAACTGAGAATCAGAGGACGCTGCCGGAGCGTTTGCCTCGTCATCAGAATGCTCTGTGCTGGCGATGGGGGAATCGGGGTTAAAGTCGGTCAAATGTTCGGCGGCGATGAGCGATCGACGGGTGCGCGACTTGGGCTGCGCACCTGCGCGACTACCTTCTCGGCTGTCAAGGCGCAAGGTAATGCGCGTAGTCGGCGGCGCAGGAGCCACAGCATTCTCGTCAACCTTCTTGACCGATCGGCCGCGCTTGGTGGTTGTGAGTGTTTGGACAGGAGGAGCGGGGGGTGGTGTGGGTTCGCGCGATGCGGGTTTGGGAAGAGCCTCTAGCTTGCGTTTGATGCAATCGAGGCGACTGTAGTGACGGTCAATGACCTCGTATAGGCGACAAGCTTCAGCGTAGGCGGACTCGCGCGCGTTGATGGCGCGATCGAGCTGGGCGGAGATGTCCTTGCGCAGCGCGCGCGCATCAGGACGCCGATCGGAAGGAAGGTCAGGAAGGCGGCCATATGTTTTGGTTAGCTCGTGGACGCCCTGAGTAGCGTCCAGGTAGCGCTCATCGAGGCCGCGGATGAGAGTGAGGGAACGGAGGAGGTCGGCGGGCAGGTATTCGGTGTAGTCAATGTAGTCAGTGACAGTGGCTTGGGCGTCGGGGTCAAAAGGCCCATCCAGAATGAGGCCGCCAGGGTCGTGGTAGTCCGCCATACCATCCAACAAGTAAACGGAGAGAGTGTAGGAGTGGGAAGGCGAGAGGGAGGGGGCAAAAGAAGGCGCGTCGAAGGAACGGGCGGACAGATGGTCACAGGTGGTGGACGGACGGCACCCTGGGCGAGGGTGCGGCCATGAAGAGGGACTGGTCCGCACTTTTACATGGATGGGGAGAGCTTGCCAGACAGAAGAGTCTGCACAAGCTACCAGCTGCAGATCGAGAAAGAATGGCGAACGATCGATCGGTTGAGCTGTTCAATTGTTCTGTTATTGTTGGGTGAAGCTGAAGTGGAAGTGGAAGGAGATAAACAATGATTGGCTGGATAGAGAAATGACTCAGCATAGAGATGGGAAAAAGATTGATCCGACCGCTGTTAATTGTGGAGACGAGAGATGTTGATATTCTGCAACGTTCGTTGGAAAGTAACATAAATGCAGAATGATATATTAAGTAAACTCACTTTTCATTGCCTGAAGGCATTTCAATTATGTATATAGGTTGAGCATTGTGGTGGAAACATGTGATGCTGACTTGCTGGTCAGGTATGTACAGTACTACTCAGGGATCTGGTAAATACAGTAGGTAGGATATATGCTGTACGCCTTATTAAACACAACAAGCGTATAAATATGCTCTGCTCGGATATATACAACCAGCAATGCTTACACAGATCGCAGTACTTGCTTCACTGGTGTTTTGAAAGAGTTGCTTAGATATACACCACACTACATATAGTGAATGTAGCACACACAGACAGAAATGGAAAATACAAAAAAGAGGTGGAAGGCTTCTACAATAGGTAGCCCTCGGGACGAGGGTGAATTGGTCGATAATTGCAGCATGTACCTCCTTGCTACGATGTTACACACTCACAGGTTCCCCCCCCCCCCGTTTGTTCCCCAGACAAACGGCGTGATTTGCCCTTCCTGCTCATCTTTTCCCTTGTCTTCTTCCTTCTTCTCATCTGCATTGCCATCAATTCTCTCCGCTACTCAATCACGTTGTCAAAAGTCAAACCCCACCGAAATGACACCAGTGCGGCGTCTTAGCTACCTGTTTGCTGGGGAGGACGAGCTGTTGAAGATGGACACTCGTCTCAACCGTAAGTTGACTGCCCATGGTCTGGGAATCCTACCGGGGATGCGTGCGAACACCATTGGCCTGAAGCATCAGTTACTCTATTTCGCTTAGTATGGAATATGGTAGACTAACAACTCTCACTCCTCATCTATCAGAAGAGAGAGTGTTCGAAAAGCCCATTTTCAAAGGACACTCCGAAGGAACAAAGGTAGAGAATACCAAGACAGAGGGATACCAACCCGAGGAGTCCCAATCTGAAGAGACCAAGCTCGAAGGAGCAGAGCCTGAGAACACCAAGCCAGAGAGTCTCCAGCACGAGAATATCAAGCCTGATGGCGAGCTCAAGGAAGATCTTTTTGAGGTTATTGAGTCCCAGAAGGCCGGCTCCCAGAAGTACTCGCTCATCGAGAACGACCTCGAAGGACCGGAACTTGAAGAACTCGTGCTCGGCGAACTGCAGCATGTCAGCATAAGACCAGGGCGAACCAAGCGCACAGCGCCCAAGTCCGAACAGTTGCACTCCGAAGAAAGCATGGCAACTGACGCGTCCTTGCACGAAGACCCCAGCGACCAGACTTTCACTCCCATTATTGCTCTCTCACGTTACCCATACAAGCTCATCAAAGACGACAGCCTGTCTCAGCAGATAGCCAGCCGGTTCTTCGACAAGAACCAATTCTGGGCCCGATCTTGGGACATGTATTCTCATCCCCCTTCCAGCAAATCATTGTTATCCCCACTGATTTCTTTCTGTGCTTGCCAGCTACTACCACTATACGCCCGCCAGCCTGGGCTGTCGATGCATTCTACTCACCCCAGCCAGATACGCCCGCCGCTTCCTCGGTGAGATTAACCGCACCCTCAATTGCACCCTCCAACTCCCGGCGGAGCGCGACATGGGCCTAGTCCTTCCCTTCGCCAATGATGCATACCCGCAGCCGAAATTTCTCGGAACGAGCACCAACCGTGAGACCAAGGACCGTCTGCAAGCCCGTGTGCCACCCCCATCCGAGCGTTACCTCGACCCCTGGAAAGACCTGGGCGACGAGCACAAGGAGCTAGCTGTTGCCTACGAGGCGATGCTGGAAGCCGCCTGCGACGCTACGAAGAGCAAGAGAAAGACCAACACAGCCCACAAGCAGCAGCAACGCATGGAGCTCGAGCACCGGCGCAAGGAGTCGCTGCTTCGCGCGCAACAGTACCTGGGGATGCGGCCCGCGGGCACCATCGACGAATCCCTGACATACGCCCCGTTTAACATGAATGCCGTGGCCCCGTTCGCGTTCTGGAAGGATCCTGTCTTCGTCAGTGTGGATGTGGAATGGAACGAGCGCTGCAGTTCCCAGATCACGGAGGTTGGCCTCTCGGTGCTGGATATGCGCAAGCTGCACGGCGTGCGACCCTCTTCGATTGATGGGGTTATTTGGCGCAGGGCCATCCGGTCCCGTCACTTGCGCGTGCGCGAGTACAGTCACCTGGTCAACAATGAGTTCGTGAGGGGCTGCCCAGGGGACTTCCGATTCGGGACCAGCGAGTTCGTGAGCCTGGAAAAACTGAAGGGGGTCGTGCAGGAGGCGTTCCAGCAGGTGGCTGTTGCCGAGAAGAAAGAAGATGACTCGGGGAATCGTCATGTGGTGCTTGTTGGCCACAGTCTCGCCGCTGATTTGGAACACCTACGCAAAATCGGGGTGAAGCTGGAGATGGTGAATGATCGCTTGGACACTGCCGGGCTTGATTGCGCTATGCATGCCGATCCGCAGCAGCAACAGCCGATGCAACCCCGATCCCTGGGAACGGTGATGACGGAGCTGGGCCTGGAGCCGTGGCATCTTCATAATGCAGGCAACGATGCGCATTATGCGCTTGAGGCGTTGGTGGCTAGTATCCTAGGCTACAAGGATGGCAATTGAGTGTCTGCTTTTCTGACAGATGTGATATCTCCGAAGATCGACGGTCACGAACGGATATGTATTTTAACTCGGACTAGTTAACGAGTGAGACAAATGACTCGTGACAATGAAACATGCAGCTTTGCTTGTCACACAATGTACACAGTGTTTATGCCAGGGCCCGGACTCAGGCCTAGCCTGTCTGGAAGTATACTTTCCCCAACCCTAACCGAACCTTAACTTATCCCCACCCACCTGATAAACCACGAACACCACCACCTCTTTCACCATACACAACCCCTCCCCCTCAACAGCCCCCTTAACAGCCTCCTCAACAACCACAAATCCCCACAACCCTCAAAAAATGCCCCTGACAACCACCCTCCGTACCCTCCCCCTCCCGCCCCCCACCACCTTCGCAACCGCCACCTCCGCCACCGCCCACCCGTTCCTCTCCGCCGCCGCGGCCGGCACCCTCCCCAAACCGCGGCTCTCGGCCTGGCTCGCCCAAGACCGCCTGTACATCCACGCCTACATCCGGTTCATCGGGGCGCTGCTCGCCAAGCTCCACCTTCCCCTCCCGCTGGCCCTGCCGCAGGCCAACAGCCCCCAAAACACCAACACCAATACCAACGCCCCCGAAACCCTCGAATCCCAAACCCTCCACACCCTCACCGGCGCCCTGACCAACATCGTCCGCGAACTGGACTTCTTCCTCGCCGTCGCTGACGAGTACGCGCTGGATCTGCAGGCGCCGTACCGGAAGCCTGAGGCCGGCGAGGCAGAAGCACCAGCCGGCAACGTCACCGCCTCGCCCATCACAACAGCATACACGGATCTCTTCGTCTCCGCGGGGTCGGCGGGCACGTCCCTGCTGGAGGGGTTGGTCGTGCTCTGGGCGACGGAGGTGTGTTACCTGACGGTGTGGCGGAATGTGCGGGAGGCGATGGGACAGCACAACGGTGAAGATGCGGATGGGGGTGCGCTGCGCGAGAAGCTGATTCCCAATTGGACGTGTGCCGAGTTCGAGGAGTTCGTGGCGGGGATCACGCGGCTGGTCGACGCGGTGGCGGAGCGGGAGGTCGAGAGTTCTGCATCCCCGACGGCGAGGGCGGAGGTCGTCGAGCGGTGTGCGCGGTGGTGGAGGCAGGTCGTTTGGTTGGAGGGGCAGTTTTGGCCGGAGATCTAATTTTTGGGGTTGGTTTTGTTTTGGCTGGGCTTCTAGGTTATGTGGACAGTACCTAGTGGCTTGCACGGTGCGTGTATGTATGTATGTATGGATGTATGTGATGGACAGGGGTAACATGTAAATAGGTAGGAGCCGATCTGATCAAGTTCAAAAGCAATTGGAGTATATGTATGCATGTACAGTATACAACCTAACAAGACACGGAAAAAAGGACTACGTCAAATCATTAGTAATATCTACAATTACATCAATACATACAGCCATGGTCCCATAATCCCTGAGGGCCTTTCGTCATCTTGAATGCCTTTCTGGCAAAGGAATAACAAAAGCAAAGTAAACAAGCCATTCCTCACGACGTCGCTGCACTGGTACGCGCCGCATTACTGAGCTGGCGATGATATGATCCGATCGTTTGGAAGCCTCTGCAAGCCGCGGTTAGCTTCAGCCATTCCGACGAAAAGAAAATTGCCTACCTCGCCAAATCAAACCCACTCTCGTCCTCTTCCTCTTCTCCCGCGCCAGGGGCAGGACGACGACCACCCTGTGGCTCAGGCTCTCGCCGTGGCGGCGGCAACACACGACCGGTAGCCATGCCTGTCGTTCCTGGTTTACTAGGACTGGCGAGGTTGGGGGGTGGCGGACTGCTGCTCGGGATACTGCCTAGTACGTCCCCGGGGTCTCCCTTGAGCGGACTCATATCGGGTACCGGTCGCGCCGGCGTGCTGCCAATATCCGCAAATTTCCAGAACTGCGCCGGTGAGCTCATTGGCATGAACTTGGAGGGTATTTGCGCCGTGCTCGGAGGGGGCAGGCGCGGCTGTTGCCGCTGTGGGGCGGGGGTAATCATCGACGATGGACCGTCATCATAGTACGACGATGACAGTACTGGAGGTGAACCCACGACCGCGTCCGACAATCCATATGTTCGACTGAGACTGGTCCCATTGCTACCCGCGTTCTTCGTCGCTGATCGGGTTGGGAGCGGCGAAGGCTCTTCATAGTCACGTGTGTTGGGTGGGCGTAGATTGTGCTCCGCCGCTCCATTACGGCTGGCACGAGATCCTCGTTCGGGAGTGTACGCCTCGACTGGGGCGACGGGGAATGAACTGAAACCGGGGGACGATACTGGTGGAGACTTTTTGCTGTTAAATACGGCTTCCATGCCATTGGTGGACCCCCGGCGATCAGGTACTTTGGTTGCAGGTGATGATGGAGCCGACGATTGCGTGCCCTTACGCAGCTGCTTCTTCCAATACTCTTCGCGGTGCTCGGGTGCGATCTGCCACTTCATTCCCTTGCCCGGCTCGTCTGTGCGCCGCGGCACCTTCTGGAACGCCTTGTTCAGCGACAAATTATGACGGATCGAGTTCTGGAGCCGGTTAGCGCTGTTAAAAACCTCCATTCGGAATTGAACACTCACCTGCCAGCCGCTTTGAGAATGCCGATAAAAAGCGTACTTGTCCATGATCCAGTTGTAGATATTGTTAAGAGTAAGCTTCTCCTCCTCACTGGAGAAGATCGCCTGGGCAATCAGATTCGCGTAGCTGTACGGCGGCTTGAGGTCCTTGGCCGAATCTTTGCTATAATCAATCTCTTCAGTACTCTCCATCATCATACCGCGGTTATACAGAGGGGACTGCTTGACAGTTCGGGCCCCCACGGTGTCGGGCGACCGTGGAGGAGGGGTCACTTGGCGCTTGAGGAATTGCGGTGCGGGTGCCAATAATGGCGGAGCAGGTGCGGTAGTCCCGGCGGTGTTGGTCGACGAGTGAGAAGCATGAGGATGGGCGTGTTGACTGGCGTCCCAGGCAGCAGGTTCTTCCTCGCCGTTCGCCAGTCGCTGCGCTCGATCCACGAAGCTGGGATGGATGGTCGCCTTGTCGCCTGGGGTGACGAACATCATCTGGGTGTTGGCGATCTCAATAATATCGCCGCAAGAAAGAACGGCGTCGGTTCCGCGCTTGAGGATGACGCTGTTGAGGCGCACCCCGTTGCGACCGTTGACACGGATGTGCCATGAGCCCGTGTTCTCACCATCGTAGAAAATCTCGGCGTGCAAGCGCGAGACGAACTTGCTGGGGCCCAAATCGACATTCACCTCCGGAAGAGCGCGCGCGGCAATCGTGACCGGACTCGACTGCTCATCCAGCTTCTGCTCGCGGTCGGGTTCGCGACCGATGTTGACATGGAGGGTCTTCACATAGTAAGTCCAATTGCGACCGGCAATTTTGGCGTAGGCGCGAATGCTCTGCTCTGCCTCCGTCTTGGTGTTGGAATAGTCGCGAAGAACTCGAACCTCTTCGCGTGCAGCCTCGAGATATGAGATTACCAGGTCAACGAGGTCTTGATTCTCCGACAGGTCCTGGTCATCGTCGGCTTCGTCGGTGGATTCGGGCTTGATCGGGCGCGTTTGTGGGGATACTCGAGAATGTTCGACCTGACCGCAACAGTAGACAGTTAATTGACAGTTCTTGTCAAGACGTTGATCGTTGTTCAGCGGAGCACTCACCTTGCGCTTCTTGTTTGACGGTCGCGTCGGCGACGAATCCGGAGCCTCTGCGTCGGATGTCTCCTGTAGCTGAATCTCCTTGCGCCGCGCGCGGCGGCGATTCGATAAAGGCATGGTGCAAAAACAGACGGAGCGATGAAAGCGGCGCAGGCGATCGGTGGTTGTTTTTGTTGTTGTTGGAGGGGCTCGGAGAAAGTGATCTTGAGAAGCGTTGCGGAGCGATGAGTTGTTGTTATCGTCGGTGGGTAGTGAGTGTACTTAGTAGTGGTCGTGGTGGAGAAGGGTCGCAAGTGGCCGGGGCAACAACACAAGATCAGGGAAGAGAAAATCGCAGACGTTGAAGAGTGAGAACACCCGTGACGAACAACCGAAAATGAGAACAGTAAGACGAATGGAAACCGGGATGGCAGGTCCAGGGTTGTTGACCCAAGGGTACGGTTTGCCACCGCGCACGAACGAGACGCGATTTGACCGTGAGTTCGTGACTAGTGAGAGAGAAGGGAAGAGTAGCGAGTGAGACGGGACTGGAGGGGGGAAGCAAGAGGGAGTGGCCAGCCACCGTTTGGGGGGGGGAAGTGAGTGAATGTGGGAGTGGGAGGGAAGAGGAGGGGAGGTCGGGTTTGCGCCAAGCACGTTCAGTAGGGCTGGGGTGCGATGGGAGGGGGGGAAGAAAGGAAGAGAAGGGTTAGTGATGAATCAGAGTAAAGGGAGGAGGGAGAGAGGAACAAAAGGAAAGAAGGGAGGAAAGGATCGAGACAAGCAGTTTGTATGCGGAAGTAAGTGGTGAAGATGAAGTAGTAGTAGTAGTAGTAGAAGCAGAGCAGCCAGCAGCAGGAAGTAGAAAGTAGTAAGTAGTAGTGATGATGATGACGCTGAGAATGAATCAGCCACAAGGGAATAGGATGAGATGGGAAGGAAACGCGCCCGAGTCAATCCAATTCTAAGTCAGTCAGTCAATCAGTCAATCATGTGGAACTGACTGCAACTGAAGGGAATGAAGGAGGATGGAGATGAAAGGTGCCGTCACTGCCAGATTGAGTAGTTTAGTTGCAATCACGGATTGCTTGTTCTTCCACCACCAACACAATTGCAATTGTACTTGCAAATGCGAAAGTCAAGTCAAGTCAAGTCAAGTATTCTTCCTCCCTTTCACCTTTTCTTCTTTTGCTCACTCTCGCTCTCTTTCCTTCCTTTCTTCCTTCTTTCTCTCTCTTCTTAACTTTCTCTTCCCCCTTGGTTCTCCCTCCTCCCGGATCCTATTATATACGGTCTAAACACTCTACTACATCCCCAATACGACGCCGTAAACAGACAGTGGATCCCCTAACCTAGAACCCAACAAGCAAAGCAGACAAGCAAGCAAGCAACATCACAAACAGACCAGACCATAAAAAGAAATGGCCCGCTGTTGACCCTTTGCCGGATGCAGTTTCTGTCTGTCCTGGAACCCTCAATTTTGCAATTCTTGAAAGAGCAATCCGTGAACCAGGCAGGGTCGCTCTGGGTTATCTATGATGATCCCACCCAAGTCTACTACTCACAAGCTAGCTTCCTTTCCCCCAAAGTCTACGAGGGCGGACCAGAAGTTAGCGAGGCGGAGTTGATCGGATGCGCAGGCGGGTTGGGGACCATCCACCACCAGTATCGTCATCGTCATCAACAACAACAACATCATCGTCTCCTCACTTTCTCACTTGCGGGCGGCTCTTGCTTCTACACAACTTACTCATAACTTGCTGCTACTACTCTTTCTCCCCTTTGGTAGAGCCTCTGCTGGTCTCGACCATTCCCGGATTAGGCACAGGCTAGTGACTGACCCTTCAGACTGGTTGCGTCATGGTGTCCGCGTGCAGCTCGTGTGGAATGCGGATCCCCTCTTCAGGCTCCTCCGACAGGTAACATCTTCGTTGCAATCTCTCGCCCTGGATTCCCCCTTCTCACTCTTCCTTCCCCCTCCGGATCAAGAGGGAAAGACAGCGCTACAATAATAGAAAAAACAACTACTGAAGTCAACAACAAAAACTGATCAACAACCGAGTCCATGGATTTCTCCCAGTAAATACAGTTTCATCATATACACAAGTAACATCCCGACTCACCAGGACCGCCTGCCGAACGAGGCCAGTCCGGTTCTCCGACGCATCGAGAATAGCAAACAAGCAGAATCAAACCTAACCCGCAATCGCCCAGAACAAGTCGTTCGTAGCATAGCCGTAAATAATTAACAGAAAGAGGAAAGTGGAGGAGGTACCCAAGGTACCCTATAGAAAGGAAGATAACAAATATGAACCGCCGGTCAAGAGAGGCCCGGCGTAACATCAGAAAATCACCTCGGTCAATCCCAGTCACCGCCCTCAGGGCATCTTGGAATCGCCATCTTCATCCATTCGTAACGTCGGGTACATCACTACATCCCCTGCCTCCGACTTCACTCCCGGCTTGGCTGGTGCCGGTTCGGCTGGTGTGAGCTCCACCCCTTCCATTTGGCTCC